TTTAACTAATTACACGTTAATAAGGAGATTTTGTAATATTATTTTCATTGTCTAGACGATTGTTAGAAATAGGCTCTGTATCCTTTGGCTTTGTTAAAACAATTCATTACATTCTTTGTTTAAGCATTGTTACATTGTGTATTTAATTAAGATTTAAAAGTAATTTTTTGATAAAAAGGATTAAATACAGTTTTTTTGTAGATGTTTAGTTACATGTTTTTATTTTATTTTGTTTCATAACCGTCGTTGAACAGCCGACCCAATTTTTTGGGTTTACGACTATTATTTTTCAACACTGTAGCCTATTAATTTTGAACCCAATCCAGAAGACAAGGGAACTCCTTGATCAAGTATTAGAAGAAATTTGCCTTCGTGGAGGACTTTTCGATAGAACTAACCCGCATTTGCGAGGAAAGTCACGAAACCCTCCTACGGTTAGCTCGATGGCAGGGATACTCTAACCCATGATTCGTCTACCACTGAAGACATTTTTTTCTGTGATCGGTGTGAGCCGGATGCAGAATTTGTATCGATTAGCCATTGCTGGGATTCGAACCCGGTCCACCCCATTGAAAGGCGAATGCTCTATCCCTGAGCCATCACGGCTCTGAGTTGCATGCTTAACGAATTTACCCTTTAGAACTTAATTCTATTGGCAATGTCTATGAAGATCATTAAAACCAAGGCAATGTACGAGTCTAGCTGTGCCCATCTTTTGAATTAAAAAAAAAAGACAATTCGTTGTTGAACTTGCGAACTACTCATAGCTATTAATTTCTTGAAATATTGAATTTTTAACTTTATAACGTTGTTTTCAATTTTTTGAATCGTTCACGACACACTTTACCGCAATTTAAAGTCAAGAGAATTGCTGTCACCTAAGTTCAATACTTTCTTTCCGCTTTCTTTCAGTTAATCTTTGCATTGTATGCATATCTTGAGTTTGCAATTAAGACGATTTTAGGAAAAAAATATATTTAGTGATTTACGTTCCAAATTTTAAAAACTATACGATAAGTTACGTTGCATGATGTTTATCATTTTGATAATGATATATGAATGAAACAAATTTGCATATCTCTTTCTTACATCCCTTCAAAATATCGATCCTTGCCTTGGGGATATGATTGCCCAAAAGATCAGGGCGCGGAGATCTATACGGATGGCTCTAGGATGGAGACAGAACAACCTAATCACTATAAGACAGCCTTTGCAATGATTATTTAACAGAATGGTATCACAATACATAAGGTCTCCGCCAGACTCACCGACAACACAAATATCTTTTTAGCAGAACTCATGGCAATTTAAACAGCTCTAGCATGGATCAATCAACAACAAATCGCATATGTAACAATCTATACTGATTCCATGTCCTCCTTACAGGCCCTGGCTGACCCAGAACCCAGTTCAAAAATTATTGAAAAACAAAACAACTATGGCACAACAACTAAATTGAACTGGGTCAAAGCTCATGTGGGGATCCAGGGCAATGAGGAGGCAGATGAGGCAGCCAAAAACGCCATTTGTTCTAGCACAATAGATCTCCAGGTACTGAGGACCCCCAAACAGGCTAAAACGAACATTAGAAACTTCAATATGGAAGAATCAATGGGAGAGCAGTTAAATTTATTCAGACATTTAAATTTATTAAGACCGCGTCAGTTAAAAGATTACAAACAAATTTTTATCTGAACCAATATTTGACGGGGCACTGAGTGTTCGGGGTCTACCAAAAAAAGTATTTTAATAAAAGTGATACCTGTAATAACTGTGATGACATTCAAACCATTGAGCACCTACTTTTTCATTGCGACAGATTCCGGACACTCAGACAAAACCACTTCCTCGGGAGAAATGAACAGCAAATCTTCGCGAGTAATACTTGCAAATACATTATTAAAGAGATCATTAAAATTACTCTCGAAGAGATGCTATCCCAAATTAACAACTAATTTGCTCTCCCCAATAAACATAGTTAAATACTCCTTGGACCACTTTATTTAATAATTTTACTCGTAGTATTTTAAATTTCAAACTTTTAGTATATCATATTTTAAATTTTAGACCTTGTATTTACATTCTTTATGCTTTAAACATCGCTTTCCATTTTACTCAACACTTTTTAAATGTTGCTCAGCTGGTTGCTTTACACTGGTATGATATTGATTTTAACTGTTAATTATTTAACTTTTAAATGATTTTTATTTTAATTTTTATACACAATTAGCTTTTACCTTTGATTTTGCATACCACTTTTTTGGTATTCGTCAAAACACGCTTTTGAATATTTATTTGCAAACATTTTTAAATTTTAAATGAATTTTGTAACATTAACGTCCCTTTTGGACAAATATATTTTAATGATTTTAATCTTAGGGTATATTTTATCTATTCTTGTTATTTTGTCAATTTTGTCTTTTTACATCTTTATCCTATCTTTTATCCACAAATAATTTTATACTTTGAAAATTTATGCATGTAATGGCTTTGTACAGTCGATTTCTTTTTTTTAACATAACGCTTTAAAATTGTAATGTTTTAACAATTTTCATTTTTACTGATTTTACAAATTTTATGTCCTTTTGGACAGGCTTGTACTAATGTGTACTTTTACCTTGTGTGTAACTTTTAACTATTTTCTTTTACCCAGCAACTAGCTCTAGCTCTCAATTCGATCCTATTGATACCTTTATTCAAGTGTAGTATCTAATAGGTAAAAATGGGTTCGTGATGTTAGATATTTTTCGTTACTATAAGGGTCTGTTGACCTGAACGCAACAACACCAAACACGACCAATATTGTTTTAGTTTATTTTTATGTTAAATTTTTGAACGATATGTTAAATTATAAGGGTCCGTTGACGTTCTTTCTGATGTATTTCAATGTTTTCGAAGCCTGTTGCCATCGTTGTTCATGTAAAATTTTTAACATTTTATTTCTATATACTTGCTGTTAAATTGAAAAATTGATGTTCCATTGTATTCGGCGAATGAGCCTATACTTGGGCCGCTGTAAAATTTTCCATCTCTTTCTTACATAAATGTACTCGGAACTCTATTTAAAGAAGTAGCTAAATCCTGAAAAAAAATTCTTCATATGGAAATTTCGTTAAATAGAACATCACCATTTGAAATACTTAAACAACACAAAACAAATATTAGCTTCATTAACACCAGACATAAATGAGCCGCTCGGAAGCCAATGCGGTTAAGTCCATTTTTTGATATTTTCTGATTTTTGGAAATTTTAATGAAATAAATAATAATCTTCTTATTTATTAAAGGTTTTACTCATTGGTTACTTTTTCTAGGTTAGACAGCCCTTTTTTTAATAGCTTCTGAATATATTGTATAATAATTTCAGAAGCCATTGTGAATAAGTCCACTTTTAATCAATATTTTTAATATGAGATGGATAAAATTGGAAAGGTCAAACCCAAGCAGCATGAAGTTCAAATATAATTTTGACGAGGATGATACCTTTCATGTAATTGATATAAAAACAAAACAAAAATAGGTTGGCCAGTAAATTTAAAAATATAACTCAACCTATATTATATCCTAATGGCAGAACAATTTCAAGAGAAACAAAAAAAGACATCATGTGTTTATTAAAGTATATATTTCCAATTAAACACGACTTTTACAGGACATTAAGGACAACACGTGGAGATCAAGTTTTACATTTAAATAACTCGGAAGAAGATGATGTTTGTTATGATGAATAAACATTAAACTTATGACAATAAATGTTACTTTATTATTTTTACATAAATTTCTTATCTTTTTCAGCTGCCAAAAGGTATAAGTCCTAAAATTTTTAAGATGCTGTCATTATTTCAATAAATACTTACGTTTTTGTTTACACATCCTGTACCTATCTTGTTTTTTTTGCATAGTTTACACCTCGAAAAAAGACTTTATACACTTTTCTAATTAAATTAATAAACTACGAATTTTAAAAACTAATGTATCAAAAAACATTAATTTTCTCAATTTTTGTGTTTTGGACTTAACCGCATTGGCTTCTGAGCGACTCAATTAAAATAGCTATTCATACACCTTTATCTTGTAAATTATCATCTTCTATCGAATTGCTTCAAGTGATTTTAACATTTCATCATATGAAGGTTTGCTGATTTCAACATTTCTATCTTCATCTTCTCCGTCTTCCTCACAATTTATTTATTTATGTTTTTATTTTTCACACTTTCTCAAATATCCGATTTAGTTGATGTTTCTGTGGTTACAGCTTCTGAATCAATAAAATGAAAGTCATTCATCAGTAAATCTCTCTTAACTGTACCCACATTTTTTTAAATTCTAAAGGAATATTCTCGTCCTCCGCACTTTCCAAATTCTCCGCACTGACTAAGAATCCAGCTTGAGCAAAACTGTTACGATTAGTATGATCTGTAACATCACTGTTCTATGCTTTAGAAATTTCTTTTATGTTTTCCAGTTAATTGATTTTTGGCATGGATTCCTGTATGAAATGCAAACAAAAAGGAAAAAGAACTTTACTGCTTTCTCTAAAAGTTTAGCAGCTGCGAAAATCAATTCAAGGTCATTTCCCCCATAAAATGCGTTAACAAGTCTGAAATGTTCTGAAATATTTTGGGATTAGGGAAAGTGGATCTCAAAAAAAAAAAATTCCGTTAAATGGAAAATTCCCTTCGCTATTTGGAAGATTTCCAAAATGTTCTTGGTTCCTCGAAAAAAAAATCAGTTCGTTAAATAGAAGTCTGACAGTAATATTCTATTAATCTCTCTGTATTTATTATCAAACAAACAAAACAAAAACCATTCTCACAATACACTTGTTTAGTTTTTTTAATTCAAAGATTATAGGTTGAGATGTTCAGTCTTTGTAAAGTTGATTGTTTTACAATGTCGTCTTCTATTTCTACTAATTCTGTCGTGCGTAGGTATGTATTTCTGAGTAACTGAACAATGTCTGTCAGAGAGGAAACCGGAAGATATGCTTCCTTATTCATCAGTATAAGATATACCTGTAATGGAGTCTAAGTTTTTTTGGGGGGATGAAAACAATATTCGTAATTTAGGAAATTTAAGATAAAAATTTAAACTAGTTTCATGGTTTTTTAGGGTTAGTAGCCAGCTTGTTTTCTTCTACTTTAATAATGAAAACATTAGTTTAATAATGAAAATAAAAAGAGTGACGTATTTGCGTTTTACCTTGATTATTTGTTTTGTAGGAATTGCTGCATGCGGGACAATAGAAGGTAAGGGCAGTTTTACAATTTATTTGTTATATGCTAAAAGTAATATTTTAACGTCTCACTATTTATTTTGTGATTAATAATGAGATAAGCATTTTTATTTTAGATATTAATTTGCATGTAATTAAAAGCGCTTTCACTCTTTAATACATTTAAATTATTTATTACATCCAAAATTTATACTTTAATGTTTCATTGTTAGTTGCGTTTTTTATCATGAAAAAAGTATGTTTATCTTAGAAATTTAGTATCTTAGAAAATTAGTAATCCTAGAAAATTAGTAACACTGTTCTATTTTGTTTCGATTACCTCTGACCTCGGTGTAAGACCAGGTAATCCCTTGAAGTTTGTTTATGCTTGGCTAACGCAAGCTGCAGAGCAGCGGAGGAGGAAGGCAACTATATACATCTATAACTATACATATTATATAACTATATATATATTATATATCTATATATACTATATAACTTTACGCATCTAAGGCAGAACAAAGGTTTTCCGAGCCCGGAATAAGTTTATTGTGGGCCCCTCTTTTTCAAAGCACAAAAACCTTATTTTCATACTATTTCCATATTTTAAGACCCTTTATACAATAAAGTTGTTTTAATATAGATATAAGGAAATTCTATACAGTTTTCCTTAAAAAATAATTAATAAGCACTATATTTTTGTAAGGAAATATGGTCGATACTTCATCCCTGATAAAAATTAGAACTGTTCTTGTTTTAAAACTATTCACTTCGACTCTTCTTTTTTTTTTCTCATGGAATGCCTGAATATTTTAGTATCACATAATGGAAGAATAAAGTAAAAATCTGTTTGCCTACGAATAAATAAATAAACAACTTAAAAAGTAGAAGCTAAGTTTAAAAGGTGACCAAAGAAGTTTTGCTTTGAAAATAATTTCAGAAGAGGGGAGTGTCTTAAACAAACGGTTTATTCGTACGAAAAATAAGGCATATATTTGCATTGAAGCATTAAATAATAAAAAGTTAAATTATATTTCCTTTCAAACTTCGCAACTTTTAAAATTGATAGTTTTCTTAAGGAGAAAAAGCAAAAAGAACTTCAAAATTTTTATTTTTAAATCATTTTGATTTGTGAAATTTGAATGGTAATTCAACAAAACAAAAATGAATATCAATTAAAATTATGAAAAATCAAACAATTTTTAAATTTTTATTAAAAAACATATTTTATGAGGAATTAATGCATCTAACATTATCTATCTCGGAAGGCAAAACATTGTCTTTCAAATTCTTTTGAGGTGAGTCAATGAGAGATAACTGATAATTAAAATAGATATATAATGATTAAAAGAATAGGTACCAAATAGAATAAATTAAATTAGCTATTATTTGAGGTAAGGAATTATTATTGAATTGAATGTTCATAATTTCAAAAATATATTTTCATATATTATACAAAAATATTTAAAATTTCGAAAGAGCAATGGAATAATCTTAGTTTCTTTATTTAAATATATGTTTGTAAATTAAGAAGTGAATGGAAAGTTTTAAAGAACATGTTTGAAAAAAATTGTGTTCTTGTTTAAAGGAGTTACTTTTTTATTTTTTAATTATACGCTAGCAAGTCTTATAATTTCATTAGTAAAAAGCGTTAAGTACAATCTCCTACAATCAGTTAACAAAAAGCGTCTTTTAAGGCATCAAATTAAAGCGCCAAGATTGCCAAAACTAGGGCCGGAATAATGAAACTGTGTTAAGAAATTAAAGTAATGTCAAGCAGAATCTTTATTTCTTGTTGTTGGGGTTCAAAATTTGCAGTTAATTTACTCAAAATCTCTAAAATATCACTTAAAAACTTCATCCCCTAATCGAATCAATTCAATTAATGTACAAGGTACTGAATTGGAGATCGATCGTTCTCTGGTTCAGGTCAAAATTACGATCTGTGTATGAATGAATTAATGGATGTATAAATGTGTTCGCCTTATTAGCGGGATGTCACGTGTGTGTGGCTGAATTCGAATTCTCTGACATAGATGGCGCCACTGAAAAACAAGAAACTTTCCCTCTGCCTTAAATTCGCTTGATTCGACCAAGCAGGCTTGCTGGTTTGGCTAGTGGGATTAGAAACAACAACATTAGTAAATAAAGGTGCTTATGCAACTCAATCACTCAATAAAAATTTGCAGTATATGGTGATAGTAGTAATCACAAGCTTTACGTTATTTATCACCCACCTGTGTGTTTCCTTTTTTTCTCCAGCTCTAAATATTTTTTCCTTGAGTTCTTAATACTTTTCTTCTGTTCTGAACACTTTTTTTCCAGTTCTGAATACATTTTCCTAATCCTGAATATTTTAAGGAATTCTGAAGCCTTCCCTCCAGTTCTAAAGATATTAAAGCGCTTGACAAACCTTTATTCCGTTATTGAAGAGCCTACAATCCCAACAGTTTTTTACACTGAGGAATGGAAACAAAGGCCCAAGCGGAAGCCAAAGAAAGCGAAAACGCCAGCTGGGAATATAAAATGCGCGTAAAACAATTAATATAATGTTTTTCGGGTGCTTAAAATTCGGAAAAATTTATTAGATTTATATGTTTAGATAAAAATATTTAAAATTTGAAAATATGCACACAAAGAAATGAAATGAATTCAATTTCCTTAGTATTTTTTCTCAAAATGGATTTAATGGCAAATGAATTTATTACTTTATTCATCTCATTCTTCGTATATGAATTTTCTTTCTCAAATAATACTTGATTGCTATTTGAAATTTTCATTTAAACATCAATTTTCTTCCTTTCATTGTTCAATACTTTGCTCAATACCAGCCGAAACGAGCTTTTGTTGGATAAATTTTATCTGCTGAGTACACTGAGCGAAATTGCCTAAAATGCTTTTGTCTAGACTACATATACATTTTGGGTATTTCTTTACGCTATAAAACTGAGGCGCAGAGGCACCGTGATAGGAGGTAGCTCACGGAAAGTAGCTGGAAACTTCTAAAGATTTTCATATATATATCTATATTTATCTCCATATATATATA